CGATTGTAAAAAAAAGAAAAAAGAAGAAAAAAATACTTTTATAAAATATTACAAAGAAATTAATTAAACTTACCCCTATAATATCATATATATATATATGTATATGATGTCATCGTAATTGCATGGAATAATTAAACGTAATAAAAAGAAGCATATTTATAAATAAAAATATTATCCACTTGAACTAGTTACATTCTACAGATTAACATAAATATATAAATATATATTTAATATATACTTTTATATATGTCTTGTATTCTTTTTAAATTTTCTTTCACTCTCACTCTCTCTCTCTCTCTCTCTCTCTCTCTCTCTTTCTGTCTCTCTTTCTCTCTTTTTCTCTTTTCTCTTCTAGTCTCGTATGTTTCCCGATAGAATCAAGAATGAATAGGCCACTATTACGGGTAACGGCGCGTTCTGAATGCGGGCCAAGTGGCAGTACGCGAGGATGTCGGAAGAGAAGCAGAAAGTTCGCGATACCAGAAAGAAGAAAAGGGAAAATAGAGAAAGAGAAAGAAAATTGAGAGAAAAAGGGGGATGGAAATAATGTCGAGGTAGTGTGGGCTGGGGATTTAAGGGGGGTTAACCTAACTCGTCGTCGTCGTCGTCGTCGTCGTTGTCGTTTATTTTCCACGTTCTATCCATTCGTTTCTAAACGTCCGCCCATAGCTTCCGTGAAAATCCCAACGACTAGATTTCTCCTAGACAAACGATTCTTTTTCTTTTTCTTTTTTGTCCTACTTTTTTTTATTTTTAATGTCACACATACACATATGCCGGTAGAGGATACATTCTACAATATAATCATCAAGATCTTTTTTCTCACACTTTTTTTGTTTTGTTTTTTTTTTTTTTTTTTTTTTTTTTTTATTCGATAACACATTCGACAATTTTCGTGTTATTTTCGATGGCAAGATTTTTCCGAAATTTTTTTTTTATTTTACACACGATTTAACACCGCAGAAAAAAAAGAAAAAGAAAATGTATATTACGTGTGATTCTTTTTATTCAACATAGGTGTTTTTTTTTTTTTTTTTTAAGGTAGATTTTTAAAATGAAATAATGAAATAAATTTAGAAAAAAAAAAAAACCATTTCTGTTTTCATCACCTGATTCCGTAGAAATACATACATAAATCATGCTAATGTAAATATGTAGTTCATTCATTACATACGAGTATATGTGTGTATTTATATACTAATGTTAGAAGTGTACTTAATGCACTATTTCTAAGTACCGTTCCATTTTCCTAGGTCATCTAAAAATGGAAATTATCTAATCGTGTCTCTTTCGCTTTACTGACTATTTCACCGTTCTGCGTTGGAATATGCTAAAAAAAAAGGTAGGACAGACACATTTCGGTAATTCCAAAATTTATTCAACAAAAATAAAACCAAAAAAGAAGTAAATTTTTATTTGCATTACCAAATCACTGTTGACATCAATTGAACCAAACAGAATGAAGATAAATCAAATTGATTATATTTAATTAAAAATATTTCACACACATATTTGGTAATATAAATAAATTTAAATATAAAGTAATTTAAATATTTATAATAAACAAAATATTATATATTTTTGAAAAATAATGATTATAATTTCTTTTTTTTTTTCAATGCTCCAAATTTCGTAAAATTATTTTGTACCAACATATGTATGTTATATATGAAATAGTATAACTATATTTTGTTATATATATATATATATATATATACCAAATTATATATTTAAGTTATTATATATAATATAATAATTGTAAATTTATTAATAATAATTATTTTTTATTTTAATAATATAATATAATTATTATTTATATTATTTTATATAATAACTTAAATATGTAATTATAATTAAATATAGTAATAAATAAATTATAATAATAATGATATAATAAGCTATAATTATATTAAGTTATTATATATAATAATAAATTATATATATAACAATCTAACTATTATTTGTGTATATACAATATATATATGTTATATATGAAATAGTATAACTATATTTTGTTATATATATTATAACAAATTATATATATATATATATATTTAACAATCTAACTATTATTTGTGTGTATATATGTATATATGAAATAGTATACCTATATTTTTGTATATTGTGATATATGTTATATAGAACTATGTGTGACAGTTATATGAATATCAAAGAGCTTTGGTAACAATATATTCTGATAGTAAAGCGAATAACATAGTAATAAACTATCATGTGAGAATAGACCTCGTCTATCCGTAGATATAACGATCCGAACAATATAATCGCTAATTAACGAGATACGCGTACTGCCACGTACCATCGGCATAGCTTATGAATTCCAATCGAAACCGAGGATGCTAGCCGACGTTAACGATGACCGAAGTGCCAGTCAGTGAGAGAGAGAGAGAGAGAGAGAGAGAGAGAGAGAGAGAGAGAGAGAGNGAGAAAGAGAGAGAGAGAGAGAGATACATGCGTGATATAACACACAAACAGAATCATAGCGTGACGAGAAGGATAATACATATACATGCACACATATATAAGAGGTACCTCAAAAGCTGCTTTAATTAACTACAGAATTAGAAATTTGTGTGTATGATCATAGATATATATATATATATATATTTAATTCGATAATCTTTTAACAACATTTTGATTGAAGATTCATATTTGCATATGTAAAATAAATTATTGTAATTTTATTGATATATTTTGATTATGTTGATTTTATATATTTTTTTTTTTTATATCAAAGGATTGGATATGCATTAAATCATATTTTAGATATTTAAAAATAAAAAAAAATAAAAATATATATATATACATATATGTCAAGGATCAAAACTTTTCAAACCAAATTACGTAAAATATAAAATATAAAAAATATCATGTGGGCAGATCACACGTGTTAAAAGTGAAACCTTTGAAAAACTAAGTTTCGAGAGAAAGAGACGACTGCAGAATATCAGGAGTAGGATAATTGTTGGGTTTATTTGTTATAATATTATTATTATATTATTGTTATCACATTCAAAAATTATTATACGTTTTATTGAAAACATATATAAATAGATAACATATTACACAGCAAGCAAGTTCTCAATTCAAAGAAATGAGACGAGTTGCTTCTGGTAACTAAAAAATG